CCGCTTCATGGCAGACGCTGCACCAATCCGCCTGTCTATCTCCCGCTCCCTTCTTCCCTCATATATGAAATGACAATTCAAAAACTGATTTTTGATTTTAGGGAGGATTTAAAACAGCTACCCCACCTCTTGCCCATTGACAGCTGGAGATAGGCACCAGCACCACTCGCAGCCCCAACAGGGATTAATCGTGACAGAAAATGGATGGATTGATTTAAAACAGGTTAGAGTCGGGGCCAAGCAGATGCTGAGAGGCAGACGGCTTCACAACCGGGGACAGCAGCGGCAAAAGCTCCGTCTCCTCTGGTTTTAATTTGGTTTTGGGCACATCCAGGTGGAGCAGCTCAGCTGAGTGACGTGCTGTGGACGGGGCATGGACAGTCAGGAACTAGGACAGATATAAAGGTAAGCATTTAAAAACAATAAAGAGGATCTTGAAGTGGATTCTGTGGCAGATAGGGAGCGAGTGCAGACCGGCAAGCATAGGTGTAATGTGCTCCTGTCGTCTGGTACCAGTCAGGAAACAGCCGTGCTCCAAACCACACAACATATTCTCATTATCAGTTCGTATGAAATCGTACGAAAAGTTATGCACAGTATTTCGCACGTTTTTGACATTTTTCTTCGGAACAAACAGATCAGTGCGCAGCCAGACAGACGAAAAAAGCAGATCCGTGGACGGACGTAAAACTGGGAAAAACAGTGCAATAATTACTTCTTGATGTCTCTAACTAGGTTGCTTGCTGTTTTGTATCTTAGGGTTAGGGTCAGGGTTAATTGCATGTTAAATTCTATGTTAGAGATATCTTGTCTCGAGGCAAGACGTAAAAATACAATGAAATACGACGAAAAAATCGTCAAAAACGTACGAAATTACTGTGCATAACTTTTCGTACGATTTCATACGAACTGATAATGAGAATACACTGAACCACAGTATAAGGCATTTCAATGATGCAAGCGAGTGCTGATGAAGGTATGTACTGCTTTTTCCAGTTTGTTTGAGGGAATGTAAGATTTTACTTTGCTTAAAAGGTGCAACTGGAAAGACTAGTTTGAATGACTGAGCTGATTTGCTTGTTTGCTTTAAAGGAGCTTTCCACCATTACCCTAAGATTCCTCACAAATTGACAAACATATAAGGATAGAGGACCAAGCATGGCAATATATTCAGCATTAAAATTTCCAGACAATACAACTTTGGTTTTCTTTCCATTTAGATTTAAGAAATTTCATGTTTTGCAGACAATTTGAAAAGATTTGGAATGACGTTGCTTTTAATGGCAGATTGACTTAAATATCATCTGCAAAGCAATGAAAAGAAAGCTTTTGTTTTTTAAACTTAAAGCAAGTGGCAATATATAGAAAGAAAAAAGGAGGGTCCAAGAATTGAGCCCTGTGGCTCAAGAACTTCATGTTTCCTCATACAAATTGCACTGAACTGCCCACAGAAGGATAGATAAAAATAGCAGCAACCTTTTTTTAATTTATTTTTCTACATCAGGTTGAAAACTTTAAAAACATTAGAACGTCTTTTTTTTCCTATATAATTTTGAATTGCTTGCTGTCTAAAGCAGGCAGCAATTATGGACACACAAATTGAACATGATTGATATGAGGAGATAAAGAGGAAGAGTGAAGCCAAAGATGGAAAGCGGTAAAGTCGCTGATGTTGAGATNACTGAACCACAGTATAAGGCATTTCAATGATGCAAGCGAGTGCTGATGAAGGTATGTACTGCTTTTTCCAGTTTGTTTGAGGGAATGTAAGATTTTACTTTGCTTAAAAGGTGCAACTGGAAAGACTAGTTTGAATGACTGAGCTGATTTGCTTGTTTGCTTTAAAGGAGCTTTCCACCATTACCCTAAGATTCCTCACAAATTGACAAACATATAAGGATAGAGGACCAAGCATGGCAATATATTCAGCATTAAAATTTCCAGACAATACAACTTTGGTTTTCTTTCCATTTAGATTTAAGAAATTTCATGTTTTGCAGACAATTTGAAAAGATTTGGAATGACGTTGCTTTTAATGGCAGATTGACTTAAATATCATCTGCAAAGCAATGAAAAGAAAGCTTTTGTTTTTTAAACTTAAAGCAAGTGGCAATATATAGAAAGAAAAAAGGAGGGTCCAAGAATTGAGCCCTGTGGCTCAAGAACTTCATGTTTCCTCATACAAATTGCACTGAACTGCCCACAGAAGGATAGATAAAAATAGCAGCAACCTTTTTTAATTTATTTTTCTACATCAGGTTGAAAACTTTAAAAACATTAGAACGTCTTTTTTTTCCTATATAATTTTGAATTGCTTGCTGTCTAAAGCAGGCAGCAATTATGGACACACAAATTGAACATGATTGATATGAGGAGATAAAGAGGAAGAGTGAAGCCAAAGATGGAAAGCGGTAAAGTCGCTGATGTTGAGATGCATCTCAACATCAGCAGCTAGGAGTGGTTCAGAGGTTCTGTGTGATTGTTGGTTTGTTTGTTTTCCGGAAGAGGACTTGGTGGAGCTTGTCATGTTAAGGGATCTGACCCACATGCAGGAAACCACTCAGAGAACCAGAGAAAAGGTTTAGCAGGTTTATTGAAAACACAATGAGTTGGATCCAGTGTTTCTCAGAACGCTGGAGGACCGGAACTGGAAGTGAGAAGGGAAGTTCAGGGTTTAGTTCAGGCTCAGTGGGAAACTTGAGTGACGACTTGCAAAGACAGATTGAATCAGGATTCAAGTTTCCGGAGAAAAGGTGTCCTTCCCAGAATCCAGTCGTGTGTGGGTTATTACTGAACTTGGTTGACTCGTTGGAGGGCGGACAGGGTTTACTCGGGTTTGGTTGGTTTCTGAGGAGCGATGGAGTTGACTGCCACTTAAATTTCCAGAAGTACTTGAACGGTTCGTGTGGAGATTTATCCCCTGCTCTGTGTGAAGCTCAAACAATCGTTTCAGGGGGAGGAGGTCCAAACATCCAGTTTGCATCCCCAACTCAGTGTGAACCTCAATGATCCTTCCAGGGGGAGAAGGGCAAAACACCCAGCAGGAGGACTTCCTGCCGAGAGGCAAAGACAAAAAACAATAAGGTTAGACTTAGGAAGACAACGACTCAGTTAGACTCTACTAAACTCAGCTTGGCTAGAGTACCCAAAACTGGCAAACACTATCACCTCGAGATAGTGGTAGTCAGCAGCTTAAGAGTCCTCAGAAAATTAGGCAACCATCGGCAGGTGTGTGGAAAGGCCAGCGAGATTCGGGCGCCACCTGGTGGTGGAGGGAGGAGACACAAACACACAACCCACACAAACTGAATTCCTAACAGTGCTGTGTTTATGGCGGAGAGTTTTACAAGGGTCATAGAATGCAAAGCCTAGTTTTCGTTGTCATAGATGAATAACAATAGTGCAGTGGGTGAAATGGACGTACAGAGAAGTTCAAACTCCATCGACACCTCCTTTCTATGCAAATCTCACAATTCTGAACATCCACCGTAAAACGAGCAAATTCAAACGAAGCACTGAGTTGACGTCAATTTCGGGGAAGTTGCCTTATTTGGTTCTGGCCTGTACGTTTGTCATGCCCCGAAATTGACAAACATTCACATACAGACTTGAAATGCATGGATTATTTTTCTATATCAGAAGATCCCTGCAAAGTTTGATGCTCAGCTGTTAATTTGCTCTAAGCATTTTTTGCCGCTGACTGGAACGGACCGGCATTTCGAACCGAGCCAGCCGGAGTGACCGAGTTCTGGGGTTCCAGCCCCAGAGCTGACG